CGCCGCATCCATCTCAGAAACAACGGGTTCAGCTTTACCCTCAGGTGGGTTCTTGAAGTCTGACCTAGCCTTCCCCGAACGTGGAATTATCTCATCCACGGTGGGGAAGTTTTCATATTCTACCATGGCTGCTTCTTCTTATTCATGAGGAGGTACATCCACAGCCGATTTTAAAGGATCAGAGGAAGCACTAGCCATTTTTCTGATTGTATGCGAAAAGGAAATGCAAAGATAAACGAGATGACAATAGTAGAAGATGCTGAAGGGAGAAAGAAAACACAGACGCTGGAAACTTGAAGAAGGAAAAACTCAGGTTTCAAAGGCTCTAGAAATGCAACAGTTCAAATGAGGAATACGTATCCCTATTTATAAGAATATGGGCACCCCAATCAAGAAAGCCCAAATGCCGCCTCATTAATTTCGAAACAGAAGAGGCGCGGAAAATGATGTAACGTATTGGGAACATGCGCCATTATGACGCATGATGAAATGATGTCAACTGACATAACGGTCAAGTGTGTCTCTTGAAGCGCCACGTCATCACCTCGCCATAAAAGGGTCACTACTCGGCCAATGTGCTTAGTTTTTTCAAAATTATAACTGGCGAAATTCGCCCGCTAAGCTCGTCCAAAAATAACCCCGGCGGATGGAGGGACTAACTGTATAGGTCAAAAGCTAATTGAAGGGACCTCGCCTGAAATAGGAAAATCAAGAATCAATTAGGCCGAGGTCATGCTTAAGAAGCAACACTGGCGAGCCGAGCAGCGAATTTCGAGGTCGAGCACCAGATAGGCCAAAACGACTAGTTTAGCAATAAGATATTTCTAAAGAATATTCAGAAAAATATTCTCTGTATTTGTACTTTCAGTAGGTAAGAAGAATGTCTCATATAAGTAGGAATAGAGAGAGAAAGGAGGGGGATCTAATCTTCTATCTTGATAAGCTCTCTCTAGAAAAGTTGACTCCCACATAACTACTAACATTATCTTTATACAAGATTCGATTTGTTGTGTTATTCCCAGCTTTTCCACGTCAAATCCGGTAAAGTATTTGATATTCCCACATTTGGTTATCTTACATCATTGTCGGAGGAAGAATCATCCACCTCGTTATATATTTGGGTGAATTATTCTCTTTATTTACAGCAATTGTCATTCATCATATTAATTGATTGTCCTCATTCTCTCATTTATTCACAGGAATATCATTAAATCACCTTTTGGCTTTTAACAGCTTTAAATGCGGTTTCTAGATTATTACTACCCATCAATCTTGGATCTAGGACTTATTATATTTAACTAGAATTTACCTATTATCATTTACTTAATTAGTTTAACAAAAATGTTTAACACTTTTTGGTCAAACATCGAACATATATAATTAGTGTATATTATAGATATATTGAATAGGAGCTGTTAATATTTTTGGTCGAGCAATTGAAAATGTTAAAAGTTTAATTAGAATGCAAGAATTTGTGGGTGCCTCTTTGCCTGTTAAGCTAGGCCTCGTTGGATCTTCCTCGTCATCTTCTTCTCTTGTAAAATTAATTGAAAATGTAAATTACTTGTAAAAACTACGTCATTCGCTTTAATTTATAAAGAAATTTTTTTTAAAAAAAACAAAAGAGAAAGCTCTTGAAACTTATAGTTCCAAAAAGCATGACATTTTATGACTATAAAAACATATTACTCTTTTTAGAACCAATTAATAAAAGATAATATTACATAAAATAGAATAGAGCGAGTAGTAGTTACTTAAAGTCTTGTTCGAAAAAAGGAGAGTGACTATTGTAGAACGTTATTAACAGTTTAGCGGATTCAGCAGTTTCTACTTAATGGATTCTAGTTCTCTGTTTTAAATAGAAAAAATTGCATGAGGCGCTTTATTTGGTCGCCCCCTTTTAATTTATACCCGTTTTGCTTTTCGTTTGTATCCGTACTCTTTTTTTTTGTTAAAAGCGTTTTAAAAAGATGATTTTGTCCTTCTTTAATAAAAGACTATTGACAAATTGCAGGACAAAAACTTAAGCATGTTTAGGCTGAAGTTTTAGCCAATGAACTAAAAAGCTTCAGCTTGTTTAGACTGAATTTTCGGATAAAACTCATTAAAAAACTATAGAATGCTTTACAAAACTTCAGCATGTTTTGGTATGAAGTTTTAGCAAATGAACTAAATAACTTCAGCATACATTAGCAAAAACTCTTTGGAAAATTACATACTGCAAGACAAAAACTTAAGCATGTTTAGTCAGAAGTTTTAGCAAATGAACTAAAAAACTTAAGCATGTTTAGTCTGAAATTTTAGCAAATGAACTAAATAACTGCAGCATGTTTTATCTGAATTTTTAGCAAATGAACTATATAACTTTAGCATGCATTAGCAAAAACTCATTAGAAAATTACATACTGCAAGACAAAAACTTAAGCATGTTTAGTATGAAGTTTTACCAAATGAACTAAAATGAACTAAAGAACTTAAGCATGTTTAGTATGAAGTTTTAGCAAATGAACTAAAAAATTTAAGCATGTTTAGTCTGAAGTTTTAGCAAATGAACTAAATAACTTCAGCATGTTTAGACTGAAGTTTTATTAAATGAACTAAATAACTTCAACATGTTTAGACTGAAGTTTTGGATAAAACTCATGACAAAACTGTAGACTGCAGGATATATAACTTCAGCATGCATTAGCGTGAAGTTTTAATTAGCTTCAATGTGAAACAACTTCATGCTATATTAGCATGAAGTTTAGCTTCAACATGAAACAACTTCATGCTACAGCATGAAGTTTTAGCTTCAACGTGAAATAACTTCATGCAAGTGTGATTCTGAAGATGAATCTAGATAAGTTTCTAATTTTTTTATAAAGCTATTGAGAGGAGAGGAGGAGATCTTTTTTCACGAATGAGGTTGCAGATCACGCGATTAATGTGTGATGCAGGTTTTATATCTTTTGTAAGGGGTGTAATTGTCGAATTTTTTGTCAGCTGGCTACCAAATCAATAATTTTTAAAAATAGAGTACAAGTTAAAAGGTGGCACAAATATAGGGTACGACTGCCAATCCCTTTTTAAATCTCGTGATTCTCATCTTTTTGAAACACAAGTAATCAACATTTTAACAAAATAAACTGCAAAGAAATTTTGGGAAAAAGAAATGATTGTTGAGAATAGTATTCTATTTTCTAATGCTGAAGTAATTAGCACTATTTTAAAATGTAGTGGTTTTTTCCCTCAAGTTCCTTCAGAGTTCAGACAATAAATAAACATAAATATCAAATGTTCTCGTTAACTAGAATTAATTTTAAGTTTTTAATAATTAAATCATGGGCTGGGCAGCTTTAAATTTGGATAGATTTTAAGATTTTCTGAGAAATAGTTAAAAGAAAATCCTATTATATACGAAATATACAATTAATTTCGCATGTATCTATCCGGTATTTATTTATTCCTAGAGTCAATATAAAAATAAAGATAATTGGACTAAACAAAGATCATATCTTGATTTGAAAAAATTAAGGATGAAAAGGTAAGGTCAACCTTTGACTACATTTTCAATTTAAAGAGAGGCATGGCAGGGGCTTGATTCTCACAATACTTATTAAGGTGTCAAATTTAAATAACTTACCTTTTAAAACTAAAAACTAAAAACTAAAAACTAAAAAACATCTTACCTTTTAGAAGTGTCAACATTTACATTGCATTTTCTTGAATATTACTAGTATAAAATATTGACCTTCACCACACCTAATTCACTTTGACTGGAAGCTGTTCTAGCGAGATGGGTTGCTGAAATCTAAGATAAAGATTTAAGGATAAGCATCTCTTGAAAAAAAGAATAAACGAGGAAAAGGAGTGTGATAATGACATCGGGTAGTCACTATTAAGTATGTTGTTTAAAATATATCTACGGATTACAATGTATTTAAATATTACACAATTTTGTTTAAATTTCAGGACCGGGCGTCCTAGAGTTTAAATCTCAAAATTCAAACTTCAGGACATCGTGTCCTAAAGCTCGAAATTTATGTCCTAAAGTTCGAATTTTATGTCCTGAATTTTAAATTAGTAGTTCAGAAATTCAGGACACTTAATCATGAATTTTAAATTAGCAGCTCAAAATTCAGAACACTAAGTCCTGAATTTCTAAATTCAGGATAGTCCTGAAATTTGAATAAATTAGTTAATCTTTAAATATATTATAAATTATTGACATACTTGAAAGCCTTAAAAATGGTTATTGATGCACTTACCCAAAAGGAGGAATGACAAAGATAGGTTATATATATTTATTCTTTTTGACTAAGAAGGCCTAACCCAAAAAACCCACTTTCCAAAAGTTCTTCTCCTTTCTTCTAATTAAAGAAGAGTATTTTCCTACAATGTGAAAGTTGACACTAGGAGACTGCAATGAAGTGGCCTCAATTTATGGAAAATTATAGATGAAGAAAGTGGTGTCTGTTTGTCACAAGGATTTAGTTGAGATACATTCATTATGTAAATAATACTACCTCCGTGCTATTTTAGGTAATATTGTTTGAATTCGTATGTAATTTAACAAACAAAAAACTTTAAACTTGTAATCTAAAATAAGTTAGAGATATTCATGTGCCTATAAATTTCTCATTAATTTTTGGTGAAGAGAAATTTAAAGTTAAATTATTTCAAAATAGATAAAAATATCACATTTTTTATACAAATCAAAAAGGAAAATACATCACATAAATTATCACAAATGGAATAACTTTTACACCATTAGTGTACTTTAACTTGTTATAAAAAAGTTACTTTGTTGATTTTCTATGTAATCTAATCAGAATTTAGCACATGGAATTATCTATTAGTGTTGGTTACCTTAACTTGCCAGTGTAATACACTATCAATAAACAGAACTTAAAAGCCTAGTCACAATATCCAACAGCCTTCAAAGAGTCAAAACAGAAAAAACAAGTGTATAAATAGGAGGGCCACTTGCCTCATTTTCAGCACAAAACACACAATAGAGCATAAGACTACTCCTCTCACGTTTCTTCTTAGTTCTCTCACAAGTCACAACTAGAGTGTGAGGGCAAGGTCAAGAAGGAGTTTGTTGTCTTTTCTCTATTATTTGTTTTTCTTTCTCTTGGACAATAGATTAATTCTGAGGGAAGTGCAATGGAGAGAAGGCAGGACTACAAAGGAAATAATATTTCTGAAGAGACTACTCTTGATTGGAGAGGCAAACCTTCAAACTCCTTGAAACATGGAGGAATGAAAGCTGCTGCTTTTGTTCTTGGTATCCATTCATCCCCTTTCTCTCTCTTCTTCCCTTTTCTGCTTGAGAGATCAGTTTAAATATTTTTTTGGTTTTCCACCCTGTGTGGAAGCCCGGATATAAGCCCGATTATATTCGAATTTGGGGAAAGCGCGCTCTATCAAAGATTGTTTCATAATTAGGCTCGAACCCGGGAACTCTGGTTAAGTGAAAAGCATCTAGTGCACCGCATTCGTAGTTAGTTTAAAGATAACTTCAAGTGTAGATATGTAAATTGGGCTGGTTTCTCCATTAGTAGTCTTTATTAACTTCTAGCAACAGTCTCTCTTTTTTTTTTTTTTTTGCCTTGTCAAAAGCATTACTCTTTCTGTTTTTCTTTCTCTTGTTTTAGATGAGATGAAAAGAATCCTTCAATTGGCCAAGGCAGTGGTGCTGCGAGTTCAACCAAACCCATTATCTTTTATATAGAGTTTAAATATATACGTGAAAAATTAATATTATTTTTATAAATATTAAATTTTAATATTAAAAATTTTAAAAGTCGAACTCATCAGATTTAAATTGTAAGATCCACCTCTGACTGTCTTGTACCTTATTTTTGTTGGTTATTAGAAAATGGCACTTGTTTCATTTGACCAGCTTGTATATTGCCATCATTTATTATTTATTCATTTGTTTAATGGTGCTTTTTTGTATGTGCAGGGGTTCAAGGATTTGAGATAATGGCAATAGCAGCAGTTGGGAATAATCTCATAACATATGTGATAAATGAGATGCACTTTTCATTATCAAAATCTGCAAACGTAGTGACAAACTTTATTGGGACAGTTTTTCTTCTTGCACTGCTTGGAGGTTACCTCTCCGACTCTTATCTTGGTTGCTTCTGGACCATGCTCATCTTTGGCTTTGTCGAACTTTCGGTACGTATATATTCATTCTTTATCTTTCATTTTGTCTCTTTCTACCCTTTCTATGTTTGTCATATATATAAAGAAAAAGATAAGAAAAAGACATCAAGCATTTAATGTGTGTTGTGTCAAGTTCACATTTTTGGTTAAATTCACACTTTGCTTTGACCTCTTGGATATGGTCCTTAAATAATCCAATTCTGGATTGATAACTGTTGAAACCCAGTACTTTTTCTCCCTGTCCTTGTCATGTTATTAAAGAGTCCGAGCAAGAATTTATTGGTTTCCAAAGAAAATATCCTATGTGATTTTTTCTTATCTGCCTAATAATGGACAGAGTTGTACTTGTGGAAGGCAGCAAGCACACAATAAAATTATTGAAATACATGCAAATTAATCCGGACATCACTATTGAAGAAACAAGAATTTACCTTCATTTATTCTGTTTTGGTTACTTTGAGAAATAGTCACCTCTGAATAACAAAAAGTTAAAAAGAGGAAATAGGATTATCATTGAAATCAAGATTGTACGCATTATCTATTCTACCAAATTATATTCTTGAAGTTATTTCCAAAAAAATTAATTTGTTGTAATATTTGTAGGGCTTCATACTACTGTCAGTCCAAGCCCACCTGCCACAGCTAAAGCCACCAAATTGCAATATGCTAACTGATGGAGAGCATTGTGTGGAGGCAAAGGGTTTAAAAGCTTTAATATTTTTTACAGCACTGTATTTGGTGGCATTAGGGAGTGGTTGTGTGAAGCCAAACATGATAGCTCATGGTGCTGACCAATTTAATTACCAAGACAATCCAAAGCAGACCAAACAACTTTCCAGATATTTCAATGCTGCATATTTTGCCTTCTCCATGGGCGAACTCATTGCTCTTACTGTTCTGGTTTGGGTCCAAACACGTTCTGGAATGGACCTTGGCTTTGGAATCTCTGCTGCTGCCATGGCTATGGGATTAATCAGCTTAGTTGGTGGTACACTTTTTTACAGAAACAAACCTCCTCAAGGAAGTATCTTCACTCCTATGGCACAGGTACTTTTTATTTTTCTATGTTTTTGAGGTCAACTTCTATACCGACAGTGTTCAAGAAATCTTAGAATATCAGGTCGTATAAAGTGTAAATACAGGAAATTAATTACCTGAAAACTAAGACGAATAATTTACACAATAGGTTAAAACACATACTCCCTCCGTTCCAATTTATGTGAACATTTTTGATTGGGCATGCACAAAGTTTAATAAATAATGAAGACTTTTGAATTTGTGGTCCTAAACAAGTCGAAAGAGGGTCCAGAGTATTTGTGTGGTTATAAATGTTTCTCATTAATGGTAGAGTTAGTTTAAGCTAAATTATTTTCAAATTTAGAGAGGGGTCGTTCTTTTTGTAACTGACCAAAAAGGAAATAGGTTCACATAAACTGGAGTAGATAGTGTAAAAGCTACATATATTGTCTCTGTTAGCTAAATTTTTATTTATGTTTTTTGTGTCAACTAGCCATGTAAAAAGTTTATGTTATTTTTTCATGTTTATTTTAGATTCCTTGATTGTAGTTCATCATTGACTTCGCCTCTTTCTTTGGCCTTTATGTTACATTATTAATTACTAGGATGTCTAATTATGAACTAGAATAGTGTTGGGTACCACTTAAATACTTTGTTTATGCTATTTTAGTTTCGAATCTGTGAGACTTTTATTGATTTGGCTCTGTTGATTATGGATGCAATTTTGTTCTCTTTCTCTGACACCATTAAAATAAAATCCCTCCATTTGTTAAATTAAATAATTTGAATAATGAAAGTGCAAGTGTTGTCTTCTATTCATGTTCCACGAAAGAGTCATTAAGGTGCCCATATTATATATCTGTCGGAGGATTTGGCTCCTTCCATTATCCTATACTAACCC